AATTCTCCTGCCTCAGCCTCCAGAGTGCTGGGATTGCAGCAGTACTCCACCATGCTTGGCTGTCCTTTATTTTTATTTATTTATTTTTTTTGTCTTTTTTGAGACAAAAAGTGTAGCTATGCAGTTCAGGCTGGCCTTGAGCTCACTTTGTAGCCCAGGCTGGCCTCAAACTTGCAGTGATCCTCCTGCCTCAGCCTCCTGAGTGCTGGGAGTACAAGTGTGCGCCATCACACCTGACTAAAACCCCCATGTTAAAGAAAAATTAAATTCTAGTTTAGTGAAGGTTTCTTGGGAGTCTTTGACAGTTGGGTGATTTCTTGTAGAAGGTAGAGGATAAGTACATACTTTACAACCATATCTAGCTATGCATTATTTTAATTTTACACTGACTTTTAGGGTGTCATTAACTAAAGATCGTGTAAAAGTATTTCTGTAGGTAACTGCTTGAGGGAATTTTGTTGGTCTGTACACTAGATAAATGTCATGAACTTCATTGCATCTCACTGTTTTGGAAAACACAGGAAGTGAACATATTTAAGTCATTTCATTATAAATACCTTACTAAAATACAACTTGTTGCACAGCAGAAGTCACTGGAAATGTTACTTAGCAGCCTCAGAGAGAATGAGTTAAATTACCAATAATCCTTTCTGGATTTTACTTGTTTACCAAATAGAACTAATCTCTTGGAGGATGGAAGTTAGTGCTGTAATCCCAGCACTCAGGAGGCTGAGGCAGGAGGCTCACCAGGAGTTGGAAGCCAGCCTGGGCTACATAGTGAGTTCAAGGCCAGTCTGAACTACATAGCGAGACCCTGCCTCAAAAATTTATTTATTTATTTATTTATTTATTTTGTCTTTTTGAGACAGGGTCTTGCTGTGCAGTTCAGGCTGGCCTTGAGCTCACTTTGTAGCCCAGGCTGGTCTCAAACTCACAGTGATCCTCCTGCCTCAGCCTCCCGAGTGCTGGGATTATAGGAGTGCGCCACCACGCCTGGCAAGACTCCAAATTGTTGGTAGTTGTATTTTGAATATTGTCTACAGGCCAGGGATATAGCTCAGTGGTACAGTGCCTGCCTGGCAAGCTCAAGGTTGTGAGTTGGATTCCCAGTACCAAAAAAAAAAAAAAAAAAAAACTGTGCTAAATTGGCAGCTTGTTAGAAGGAACAAACAGATTTTCCTCAGTACCTTTATAAGGCAAATTAGATTTACGGTGATACATCTGTTCACAAATGCTTTTGGTTTGCAAACAGTTTGGTTTGCAAACAGATACATTTTGCAAAATTTTGTTTTTGTGACCTCTACATCTGGTGATGAACATGACCGCAGCCATCTTTTTTGCAGGAACATGAAAGTGGCCATTTCCCCCAGGATTGTGGAATGAACTACATTTGTAAACCAAGATATCACTGTATTTTGTAAGATGGGTGAGATGATAGAAAGAAGGTTGCTGTCCTGCTAAAATGTAATAAAGTCTATTCTTCAGCTACTAAATGGTTTAGCCCCACATGGGCATTTCTTAAGAACCTGGCCATGTGTTTTGGACATTTAAGATAATGATAGCTGGGTACAGTGGCACACACCAAGGCAGGAGGATCGCCGAGAGTTGGGGGCCGGCCTGAGCTATCTAGTGAGTTCAAGGCCAGCTTGAATGGCATAGTGAGACCTTGTCTCAAAAACAAACAAACAAAAAAGATGATGTTAGTTAGCTGTGTTCTAATAATCAGCATCTTTGATAAAATCCTTCAACTTTCACCCCTTTTTTCTTTGCCAGGGTGTAGAATTTGACAGCAGTTTCAAGAGCTGAGGAGGAGGTGAAGATGGAAAGGAGTCTAGCATCCTAAAAATCTCATAGTATTGTGTGTGAGGTGACTTTTTTTCTTTTTGGTGGCTCATTTCATTTAGGAGATGAAGATGCTAAGGCCTATGACAGTATCATCAGACCATATTTGAGCTTACTGCTTACTGAAATGTTTCCTTTTTTTTTTTTTTTGACAGTCTTGCTAAATAGCAGAGGTTGGCCTTGAACTTGTGGTGATCCTCTTGCCTCAACCTCCTGAGTGCTGAGATTACAGGAGTGCTGAGATTACAGGCATGTGCCACCATGGTGGGCCAGTTTGCTTTTCGTATTCAGAAATTGACTTATTTGTTTTTCTTAGTATTTGAAACGTCATATGGTCACCATCAGTCCCTAACAAAATAACTCCTACTGATGGGCAGGACCTATCTTCCTATGATCTTTTGGCCTGTTTACAAAATTACCCCCGCTGAAGAGAATTATATTCTGGAAAGAAGTTGATAAAATCCTTTGGCGTAGTGGGTTTTTTTGAGGGGAAGTTGGCATGATGTTTTTTGACTTCAAAATTTTAACTGGTAGTTTATTGATGTCACTTTTACTCAAGAGGTGTTAGACACTTGATGGCCTGACACTTTAAGTGTTACATGAATCACATTTCTGTAAACTGGGAGTGGCAGTGCACACCTGTAATCCCAGCAATGGGGAGGCTGAGGCAGGAGGTTCACTGCATGTTTGAGGCCAGCCTGGGCTATACAATTAGTTCAAGGCCAACTTGAACTATATAATGAGACCCTATCTCAAAAAAAAAAAAAACAAAAAACAAAACCCTATAAACATAATACAAATTAGAGACCAGTATTTGTATTTCCTACTAAAAATAAGGTAACTTACATTTCGTACTCAAATAAGAGTACTTTATAATGCATATATTAAATATGCAGTAAAGCATATGAGAAGCTAACATTTTTATTTTAGTAACTTGTTTTATGGTGTTGTAATTACGGCCCATCAGAAACTCTCCTAAGAGCTGGGCGTGGTAGCACATATCTGTAATCCCAGCACTAGGGAGGCTGAGGCAGGAGGATCGTTGTGAGTTCAAGACCAGCCTGGGCTACAAAAGGAGCTCAAGGCCAGCCTGAACTGCATAGCGAGACCCTGTCTCGAAAAAAAAGGACAGAAACTCTCCCTAACAAGAGTGTCTAGAGGATGATTGGTGCTTATTTGCTGCTACTCTTTTTTCCTGCAGCTCAATTAGGAAAAGCTTAGTTATCAGCCTGCTGGTTGAGAGAACTGCCTCCAGGATTATGCTACTTGGGTGTGAGGCCCAGTGCTACTGCTTACTGTCCATGGAACCTTAGACAAGTAACTTTGCTGTTTGTATTTCAGTTTCTTGAGAATAGTGACAGTTCTCTGCCTCATGTGGTTCTTAGGAGAATTTGGTGAGTTAATACATGTAAAGTTCTTAAAACAGCCAGGCATGGTAGTACATGCCTGTAATCCCAGCACTTAGGAGGCTGAGGCAGGAGGATGGTTGAGAGTTCGAGCCCAGCCTGGGCTCAAAGTAAGCTCAAGGCCAGCCTGAACTGACAAGACCCTGTCTCAAAAAGACACACAAAAAGTGCTTAAAATAGTGCCTGGAACTTAGCCTAATGTAGTGTTATTTCTACCAATTTTGGAGCCAGGCCCAAGTAACTATTTTTAATTGCATTACTCCCTCTTTCAATAGCCCTAATTAAATGCCTTATTTAGTGGCATCTACACCAAAATAGTCTTCATTTCACAGTTTGTGTAGGGCAGCATTGTCGATAGACTGTAACCCTTGTCTTACCCTTGTCTCTGAAGAGTCTCTGTGAGACTGCCTGGGTCTCACCTGGTGGGTGTATGTCCTGTACTGGCCCCCTTTCTTCTTCCTTTCTGTAAATTATTTTCCATTACTGAAGATTGAACCTAGGACCTTCACACTGAGCTATATCTCCTGTCCTTTAATTTTGAAATGGGTCTTGCTGTGCAGTTCAGGCTGGCCTTGATCTCTCTATGTAGCCCAGGCTGGCCTCGAACTCACAGCAGGCCCTTTGCCTCAGCTTCCCAAGTGCTGGGATTACAGGTATGTGCCACCTCGCCCAGCTGCTGACCTACTCTTGTAAGGACAAATATTTTGTGGCACAGAACAGTGCACAAATAATATAAAATTAAGTTTGTATATCAAAATGTTTATAAAGTTGGAGATTTTTTTTTCAGAGTAACTATGTGCAGAAAAACTTGGAGTAAAGTTAAAGTATTGTCTAATTTTGGAAGAATGACTAGGGATTTTATTTTATTTTATTTTTTTGGTACCAGGAATCAAACTTAGGACCTTACACTGGCCAGGTAGGTGCTTATACCACCGAGCTATAGCCCCAGCCCTGACTAGGGTTTTAGAGCTCCTGACAGGTTTTCCATCAGTGATATGAATGATCCTTACATGAACTTTGTCTTCCTAACTTCGCCAGCTCCAGGCTCCTTAGGGCGAGGAGACAGTCATAGAAAAAAAGAACCAAGGACTTGAGGATGAGCTGCATATCCACCTTTATGCTTTCACAATTTTTAGTTCTTAGGGCTAGGACAGTGCACAAGTATAAGATCTTTGCATTGAAAACCATTGAAAAACAGACAAATAATTGGCCACTGAGAACTCCTCTACTTTTTTTTTTTTTTTTTTTTTTTTGGTTTTTTGAGACAAGGTCTTGCTATGCAGTTTGGGCTGGCCGTGAGCTCACTTTGTAGCCCAGGCTGGTCTTGAACTCCCAATAATCCTCCTGCTCAACCTCCTGAGTACTGGAATTACAGGCATGTGCAACCACACCCAGCTAACTCCTCTACTTTAAAACTCTAACTTTGTTAAGTTTTTATAACACTGTTTATTTGTTTGTTTGCTTTTTTTTGCTTTGTTTTTTTCTGGTACCGGGAATCGGACTCACAACCTTGTGCTTGCCAGGCAGGCACTGTGCCGCTGAGCTAAATCCCCAGCCCCCTTTTTGTTTGCTTTTTGTAGCGCCAATCTTTTTTTTTTTTTTTGTACCAGGAATCGAACTCAGGACCTTGCCCTTGCCAGGCAGGTGCTTATGCCACTGAGCTGTCTCCCTGGCCCTGCCTTAAAAGTTCGACACACTCAGATTCACTAGGCATTCACTTTATTTGCCTGAATACTCTCTGGACAGCTTACTCTTTCTGCCAAAAAGAATATTCTACATGGGGTTACTTGAGAAGATTGGAAAACTGGAGTTCTAGCCAGATGTGGTAGATCAGGAGTTTAAAGCCAGCCTGGAATCAGTAGCCAAGAATCCATAGCTGTGTAGCACTGTAGAGTGGCACAAATATTTACCTGCTACCAATTTTAGGTTTTTGTTTGTTTTGTTTGTTTGAGACAGGGTCTCACCATTTAGTTCAGGATGGTTAACTTTAAAAATTTATTTAGTAGTGGCCAGGCATGGTGGTGCACACCTGTAATCCCAGCAGTCGGGAGGCTGAAGGGAGAGGATTGCCCTGAATCTGAGGCCAGCCTGAATTACAGAGTGAGACCCTGGCTCAATAAATAAATAAATAAATAAATTTTTAAAGGAAAATTTAGCTGTATTTGTTATTGAATCCAGGGTATTCTACCACTCAGCTACATTCTCAGCACTTTAATGTTTTGGCTTTTTGTTGTTGTTGTTGTTGTTGTTTTGAAACAGGACCTTGCTGTGTAGTTCAGGCTGACCTCGAAGTCGCACAGTAGTCTTCCTACCTCAGCCCTTTGAGGGCTAAGATTACAGGCGTGCACTGCCACACCTGGCTTAGTCTTTTTAAGGTGTTATTTTGAGACAGGGCCTGGGTCTTACTAAGTTACACAGGCTGGCCTCAAATTTGCAGTCCATCTACCTCAGCTTCCTGAGTAGTTGGGGTTATAGGTGTTTGTCTCCAGTTGATAAGTGTTACAGGATTTGAACCTTTGGGTACTACAATGTAACCTTTCACAATAACTAAGGTTTTGTTTTTTTCCTTTCTGTTGGTGTTATTTGTAGAATTCTGTTATATAGTGGTTGGATTCTAGTAAAGAGTGTTTAAGATCAGGGCCATTTCTTGTGTTTAAAAGATTTTATTTTATGTTAAGTCTTGTATATATTTGTTTAAAAGGATGAAATTTGGTGAGGCAGGGTGATGAAGAATTCAGAGTCAACCTGGGGTATCTAGTAGGTTCAAGGTTGGCCTGAGCTACTTACTGAGACTGTCTCAAAACAAAAAAGAGGTTCAATTCAGTTTTACCTTTATAAGGCTAGCTATGACATAAATGTACATTGGCTTGTTAGGGAAATGGGCAGATCTGTCATCTTGCAGATCTCCACCAGCTGCCATGTGAGGCTTGTGGGTAGTAACCGTTGACTGGTCAGAGCTCACTCCCAACTCTTTGGGAGTAGGTCCTTCCTTAATGGCCCCTTCAGCTTTAAAATCCATGACACTTGTCCTCCAGGCTGAGGGGCATCAGAGTGAGTTTAATCTCTTGCCTCAGTCTGTTTCCCTTTTTGTTGGACCCATACCTTGTTGAACATTGTACATGTTGGGATTCTCCAAGTCCCGCACACACCCAGTGTTGCAGGACCATGTCTTCCTGTTGGGTTCTTCATTCTCTATAGGCCACCACTGCCTTACCTGTTTGCCTCTTTATTCAGATCTTTTACTGTGTTTCAATCAAATTTTACAAAATCATAGACAATAGGATAGTATTTAAATAGTCATTTACTTTATACATTTCACTGCTTTTTCTCTTTCTTTCTTTCTTTCTTTCTTTTTTTTTTTTTTTTTTTTTTGGTACCAGCAATAGAATCTTTTTCTTTTTCTAAAAAAGGTCTTAGAGCTGGGTATAGTAGCACACGCCTGTAATCCCAGCACTTGGGAGGCTGAGGCAGGAGGATCATTGAGAGTTTGAGACCAGCCTTGGCTACAAAGTGAGCTCAAGGCCAGCCTTAACTGCATAGTGAGACCCTGCCTCAAAAAGGCAAACAAACAAACAAACAAATAAATAAATAAATAAAAA